CGAAGGTGGCTCAGACTGTGGCGTTCTTGACACCTCTCGCGATCCACGTGCCCTTTGAGGCGAGCCCGGCCTTCTCCTCCAGGGCTTTCCATGGATTCTCGTTGGACCAGGCGTCGTAGTATCCATCCCACCATGGTTTTGCCGGTTCTCCCCGGTCTTCCTGTTGCCGATGCCCTCCCCGCCTGCCTTGTCCCCGCCCGCCTCGGCCGACCTGTAACCCATACGCCGGATTTGGTCGACTTGGCAACGTCGCGTGACCGCCGCCCTCCTGCGCCAGCATCTCCTCGATTTGCGCCTGCGCTCCCGCGAGGGCAGGTGCATCGCCCAGGTCCAGCGGCGCGCCTTCATCGTCATCTTGGTCCAGGTCAATCTCGTCTTCGTTCAGCCCGTCTTGTTGTCGCTCTGCGACGGCCGTGGCGTTCGCGCCGGTCGGAGCAGCAAAATCGGGAACGCCGACAACGGCATTGTCTGTTCGGGGGTTGTAGCGGCGGCGCTTGGAAGGATGACTGCCGTCGCCGCCGAAGGCAGCGAAGCCCATGGCTTGCATCATGAGGGCGTCTTCGGATTCTGGACTCGCAGGCTCGTCTGGTCGGAGAGGAGGCACGACATCGTCGTTCGAGGGTATCGCGGGGTCCATGGCGGCGGCTTTGGGTGTTCAGACCACTTGGAAAGCTGGCGTGTTGGTGACTTGGGTGGAGGAAGAAGTGGCGAAGCCCAAGGCGGCCAGGTGTGCTTTGGTCACTGCTTTGTAACCGGACTCGACTTTTGATGCTTTATCGTGCCGAGGTCCTCAATCAGCGTCGTTGCGATGCAGTGTTGCCGGGTTTGGCGAGCAGAACATTGTCGGAAAGCAATGGTCGTTTCGAGTGGGGAATCAGGAAGCTTGAGCTTGCCGGAGCTGCGACAGACGACGTCCTGAAGATCAGATCCGGCAGGTGGGGCACCAGGTGATACCTCAGTTCTTACATAGACTATTTAAATGCATGATAATCTACAACGATTTGCAGTGTCGCCACGATTGCAAGTGTGGCTGAGCTTCTTCGCTGTGATTGTTATGAATGCCAATACTTAGACTCTTCGATGCTGGGCTTCATGTTTAGAACCAAGCCCACTCATCCAGGAAGTCATGCCGAGAGAACGTTCATCCTGTTTTGAATCAATCACCCTAATAGGGCAAATGAGCTACAACCTATGCGGAGCGAAAGCCATGAGAGAATCAGGTAATCAAAGCAGAATGTCAACATCTGAATTCTGGCCCTCCGTAGCCTACATGTATACGTTTCTCGTAGCCCCTAGCCCCTGGCCGACCCCCGCATGGCGGCTCCGCGGGGTCGCCTGACAGTTACAGTCATCGAGCTACACTGAGCAGAACGGAACAGCTTCCATGGAAGCCTGTCACCGCCCAGTCAAAAGAATTCAAATTTGCAAAGAAAGGGCTCATTCTTGGGTCGGCTGCTTTGCGCAAGTGACAACATGCGTTGCTGGCTGACTTCCAAATGCCATCGATATGCTATCTTGACAATCAATGCTCAGCCACTCATCTTGAAACTCCATAATATCGAAGCGGTAGCCTTTCTATCCCACTGTCTGCACTATGACCAATGTTTAGAGATTGTTCAAGAAGCCTCACAACAATATAGAATGCTAACGGATTCCGTGAGTATCGTTATCTTACAACATGGTTTCCTTTATTCCCCATCAAAAAGATACAGAACGCTCAAAAAGTGTGCAAGATGAAAACGTATGTAGGATTAGCGGTGCTTTCGGGAAACCAGGGTGAGGCATGTCAGTTTCCTGGAAACAGCTCCATGGTTGCATCACACTAATAACTTAGGCCAGCCCAACCCGAAGAACCGTATCAATGACATATCAGCCTCACGTATCCCAACCACTCGAGAAAGACAAGGCACCTCCTGGTCGTCGAGACTGGCTGTTTGTGTCAGGGGCATGACCGAGCTTCCGCAATTGGGCAAATCGACTGAGCTGTGCGGGGACTGTTGACAAGGCCCTCCCCATCTAACGGGATCGGGGCACCATTGCCACCACTTACGAGTGCACTGCATGAGTTGGCAAGGTTGGGCACCTTGCTGTCGCAATCGCGTCGACTGCGATGGAGCAACAGCACGTGGGTACCGGTTGAATGGGCTCCGCCGAATAAACACCTGCAAAATAAGGTATTCTGCAGGGGTGTTGCCGGCGCTCGTAGCTTCGATTCCGGCATTGGCTAGATTGCACTGCCGCCTTGATGGCCGCATGTCTTGGACGGAACATCATATCTCGAATAGGAAACCCAATGGCGAGATAACAACGTCGGTCATCTTGGGTCATCTTAAGAGTCTTGGCTGTGCGCGGGGTAAGCAGTCTTGGCCCGTCACTACAGCGAATACGGAAGGTGGCATTCTTAATTTCGATCTCAAGTTCTGGAAGTCCCTTGCTGATCACCTACTGAATCCGGCAGTCGAGTTTTTGCTTGGCGACAAGGGCGCCGCAGTGCAACATGATATAAAACCACCCAGCAACAGCGTGCAATTCTGCGCACTTACGCTCTGCACCACCGCTTTATCCTCCATTCTTCTCAATTGAGCTGCCCAAGATGAAGGTCACGTCTGCTTTGATGCTGCTGCCCGCGGTGGCGAGCGCCGCCCATTTCCGCAAGGATCAGTATGATTCCGGCGAGGTTCACCAGAGGATCATGGATCTCAAGAACGCAAGTCATGCCTTTGAGCTACCTTACTCCGAACTGTCTTGAGACACAACGACTAATGTCCTTCCAGTCTCAATGGGACGCTCTAGAAGCTGCTGGCGCTCTCAACTCCAGCCAGTGGCCTTCATGGGCAACCTGGGACAAGCTCGACCCCAAGATCAAGGAGGACAAGCTTGCGTGCGGCAAGTGTGGCACCGCTGTCGCTGAGAAGGGCAACCCTATGCAGACGTTCCGCTGCAAGAACGTGAGTTGCCTTATTTTGCCTTACTTAAGGATTACACTGCCTCTGTCGATGGCTTGGGCTAATACACAGTAGATGGACCTCTACGACTTCCTCAACCACAACGATATGGGCGGTGGCGAGGCCGACCCGAGGTTCCCCAACCGACGTGGCTCCTCCATTTGGGGTTGGGTTGCCCCCGATGGCCGCCAGATTGCCCTCATCGGCCAACACACTGGCACTGCCTTTGTCGAGGTCTCCGACAAGGGAAAGCTGACCTACCTCGGCCGTCTGCCCTCGCAAGACCCTATCGGCTCCTCATGGCGCGAGATCCGTGTGCTGAAGGACTTCGCCATCATTGGCTCTGAGGCTGTTGGCCACAACATCCAGATCTTCGACCTCAAGAAGGTCGCTGCCATCGACCCGGCCAAGCCCATCAAGTTTGACCCTAAGACCGACCTCGTCGGCCTGTTCGATGACCTCCCCATCGGTCGTGCTCACAACGTTGTCATCGACTGGGACAACGAGTACGCCATCGCCGTCGGTGCCCAGCCCCGTAACCAGACCTGCGCGGCTGGTCTGGAGTACATCGATCTTTCCGACCCCGCCAACCCGACCAAGCCCGGCTGCGCCAGCTCCGACGGCTACACCCACGACGCTCAGTGCGTGACCTACAACGGCCCCGACACTCGCTTCAAGGGCCGCAACATCTGCGTCGCCTACAACGAGGACAGCGTCACCATCTGGGACTCGACCGACAAGGCCAACTCTGAGATGCTTGGCCGCCTGGCGTACCCTGGCGCCACCTACACCCACCAGGGTTGGTGGACGGAGCGCAACTGGCACCAGTTTGTGCTCTTCAACGATGAGCTCGATGAGTTTGAGGGTGTCGGCGAGGCTGCCGACGGCATCCCCATCACCCACATTGCCGACCTGAGCGACCTCCGCAACCCCAAGTACACCGGCTTCTTCAAGAACACCGATCACGTCGGTATTGACCACAACCTCTACATCGAGGACGGCATCATGTTCCAGTCAAACTACGGCGCCGGTGTCCGGGTCACCGATGTCAGCTCCATCTCCACCCACCCCGACGGCAGCAAGGTCGAGAAGCTCGCCTTCTTCGACATGCACCCCGAGGACGACGCCGCTGGTGGTTCGCTCGAGTTTGTCGGCACCTGGGGCAACTTCCAGTTCCCTTCTGGCTACATCGTCGTCAACACGTTTGAGCGCGGTGCCTACGTCCTGCGCGTGGCCAGCGGTCCTGGTCGCGACGGCGGCAAGGGTTTCGGTGGCAAGTCGGAGTAGAGTCGTAACGACAGGACATGATCTACGAATAATGGCGTCTAATATCAGGGCAAATGTAAATAAGTCACCAGGGTACATGCATCCATGAACAAAAAGCAACAGCAATACTATATGCTGCACTTTGCAGTCCACCACATGAGAATGCTCCGCCGTAACCCTACAAATATAATTTACTCATGTCCTCCGGTAACTTGATGCATCGCTACAAAGCGCCACGCAAACTTGACCAAGGACAATAGACGTCTAGTGTTTGTATCGAGCAAGGCACTCTTAAGGGATGCCTTCCTGGAGATTGAGTATAGGCAGCGGATGAACAAAGGACTCGACAGCTTCCATTCGTTTCCACGAATTTTCACTTTACCTGTCTCCATCTGCAAAGCTGCTGTAGTTGACATGGTACGGTATTACTGCACTATGATCCTCAACCAGTCATCCTACACCTCATTTGTTACCTGGTCGGTCCAACCCTCCGCAGTCTCGTTCCTCCTCTGTAAAATCGGAGCAATGCTTTGAATAGACTTCAACGAGATTGGTGAAATGGCGAAGGCATCCCCAGGTTTTGTACTCTATCCATGGCAGCAAGAAAGATGTCAGGGACAGGGTTTTATTTGAGACATTAGATTGCAATGGATTGATAATGCTAGTATCGGTCTGTGCAAGGTTCCGTACATCTATCTTACAAGACTTTGAAGGCTTTATGCCTGTTTCCGACTCTTTCTTGTCTTTGGGCCTCGAAATATACAAGTGAAGTACTCGATCCCCCAAGAATTATACCACAGCCTTGAGACGCCAGCCACCCGTGACGCCCCTCGCGCCGACAAATGCTATCGAGGTGGCCACGTAGAAACCACCGGTGAGCAATATCAAGCCTCTGTAGGATCCACCATTCGCCTCCAGAATGGCGCCTGCAATGGGAATACCGGCCCAGCCGGCAAAGCTCGATACACAGAAAGCTGTGCCGCTACGCTTACCCAGATCCTTCGTCTCGGAAACCCGACCAATGCAGACTGGAGTCAGACTGATGGCGGCGCCGGACCAGAACCCGAAAAGGACAGTGAAAGCCTGAATCATAGCCTCGTTACCTCCTGATGTTAACCATAAACCGTAAATGATGACCGTGCATACGATCACTGTGATGGACATGATGTTGAATACGCCGTATTTGTCGGCAACGTATCCAGGGAGCGCTCGGCCGAGGACGGCGCCTGCGTTGAGTAGGGTGTTGAGGAGATAGGCGGACTCGGCCCCCATGCCCTCATGGATTGCGTAGGATGAGATGTAGGTGTAGGGAATAAAGCAGGCAAACTCAACACAGAAGACGGCCAATGTCGTCACGCCGAATTTCGGATCCCGTAGCGCCTTGAGATCGATCCACGAACCCCCCGACCGGTTTGGCGGCAATCTTTTCTCGATGAGAAAGCATGCGGCGAGACACGAAGCTGTACAGATGAAGCCAATGATGCGCATAGACCATCCAAATCCAATATGGGGCGCAGAGTAGAGAATGATCAAGGGGAAGGCAATGCCTCCAAGTCCCCCTGCTGTGCAGGTAATACCTGTGGCGAGGGCTCGCCGCTCATTGAACCAGTGCCCTATAGCTGCGATACTGGGATGGAAGAGAAGGGATGCTGAGATTCCGCCGAGCACACCGAACGATAGGATAAACTGGTAGTATTCTACGCCGGTCAACATGTGCAAGGATGAGTCGAACTTGAAAGGAGGCGCGCTTACCCATCGACAAACTTAGGGCCATGACTGAGGCTACGATGCCGATGCTTGGGGAATGAGCAACATGTCAACATTGTGTGCGTCGAAGATTGGGCCTGCATGGAGGGAGTTTGCAGATCACTCATTGTTTTCATCCTGCTTTTTTTCTCCTTCTGGGGTGACTTGCCAACCGAGCCCCACAGAAGTATAGCAGAAATGCGTAGATGCTGAATATCCAGCCACTCGCTGATTGTGATATGTGTGACAGCTGATTCTTGGACACGTAGGCGTGAAGCATAGCCATGGTGTTGAGCAGCCCCATGGAGGGATCATGGCGCACCAGGCGCCAAGCACAACTAGCCATGCGTCCAGGCCACGCTCTGGATACGTCAATTCCTCGCCTGTCGATTCTTGAAAATGGCCTGTGATGTCTATGAGCTAGCGCTCTGGAGGTATTTATGGAGTGAGGTCCAGCCACGGAGTTGAGGCAGATGTACCTGCTGAGCTTGAGCCTGCATCTGGCGTCATTGCTCTTGATAGCTGATCCTGAACCGTCATTTTATTCTAAGTATTTAAAATAGATTTCTCTCTACTCTCGAAGGCTGCTCAAAGACGCAGGGCACTGATCATTTTTTATACGTTCCAAATACTAAGATGATCGATTGAGTTCTCCGCGCCGTTTCCTTCTGGTCTGCATTTCATAGACCGCCACTCGTACATGACAAATCTCGGCAGAGAGCTACGTGCATGCACGTCATATTGGTCGAATGAATCCAGTCAAAGTCCTGAAAGCCCAGACGAGCATGTTATACAGAGAACCGGACCCGGCTTGAGGAGCGCCGAATGAATCGGGTTCGCAGGTGAACCTGAAAATGGCATATCCTGTACGAGTACGGGCACAAAGCGCGTCAAGGTTGTAAACGGGTATTCCATAGTATAGCATTCGATGGCATACCCGGTTTATTCCTCTTTGGGGTTTCTTCCAGACCCAAAGTCGCGTTGAGTAACGACATGTGCGAAGTAGTGCGGAAATTCCCGAAACGGCAATCCGACATGCATCGTTGAGACAGCACCTCATTGATTCGAGATGCTCCCAAAAAGGAACAAATGCACCAGTCGACAGCACCTTGATGTTCGAAGGCTACTCGCTGAATCGAACCACTTTTGCTCAGCAGGCTACATTGCATTGCACATTCTGCAATGCACAGCAGCTGGGGCCTGGTGCTGTGAAGTCGTTTTAAACTTTTTGAGTTTGGCCTTTGTTGCGCGGAATGTGACGTAAAGAATCCCTGTGCACGAGGTAGTGTCCGACCTTCGTTAGAAAGATATCGAACTACGGCTCCGTAAGAAGCAATTCTCCAATAGTTTTACGTCGAACGTTTGATGCACTAATTTGCAGTCAATTTTAATGGCTCGGTACGTACGTACATTGGGACCCAATACTCCGGGTCAAACCCTCTGTCATGCAACTCGAATGTGTTGTGTTTTCATTACTCCGAGCTAAATATTCCCAATGGTGTCCAGTTCTGCAAGACTTCCCGCAAGCTGTAAAATAGAAGCTGTTCTGACTTCTTATGGAGATGTCTAGCACTAATACAATCAACTCAAGACTACGTACTCGAGAGAAAGAGGCAGAAGGGGAACATTGACATTGCAATGCGGTCATGGCGACACACAGGTTGCCATTGACGTAACAGTGCTGGGTCCCTGTGACACCGTGCTAATAATAAGCGTAGACCAGAGATACGGATATACTATACAACATTCTCTCAGTTGTCGAAATATATACAAATCATATCCATGGATAGAGATAGCAGAAGATACGAGGGACGAGTAAATGAAGTCATGGCTGAATCGACGCTTGGGGTGAAATCTGTTGGTAGCCGAGGTCAGAGCAACTAAAAGTATGCCCAAAGCCATGAATGTTTGATGAGAAACAAAAGACTTTGATTAAGCTTTTCATTGCACCTTAGGAGCGTTTTGAGTCGTAGTTTGGCTAGGTTTCATGAATGAGGCATCGAAGTAAGCGATTCTTTGCTCCAAGGTTTGAATAAGACTCTGGCTGCTGAGTACATTGACGATGTTCTGAAATTACTAAAGACGTTTGTAGTGATCTCTACAGTTGTGCTACGAATACTGTTTGCGAAATTCTATACTATTTGCGAAATTCTATGCACAAGCAACCGGAGCAAGCTGAGACGGCACTTGACCAAGGCCGTGTAAGTGCTGAAACTCATAACACAAAAACACAAATGAATCTTGTCTTGCGTCTGTGACGAACTGTTCTTATGCATGCTCTACAACACCTTTAGGCCGCTTGCGACCAAAATTCAAGTAGGAATAATGTCGCGGCTCGCATTAGGTGCAGCCTGCAAAATTGCCTAGAATATTCCTGGAATCATTCTCCACTTCACAATCTTACAGTATTCATCCCACGTGTCCCCGTACTTCTCTTTACACCTCGCTTCGTCACGAAAACAACGATGTACAACCGTAGCCGTAACAAGAAGTGCTTCTGTGTATGGGAAGAAGTGTCCAGCTCCACAAGCCGCGCAAGACGCCCAAGTATATAGGAGGCTTCCGACGTAGTTGGCGTGACGTACTACTCCCCACCATCCTGATCAACCATGTTAGACATAACGCCAAGATGGATGAGCTGGAGGATGGACCGGGTTTTGTGGATTAATGAGGGCAATCCTGGGTTCATACCTGAGTATAATAAGACGGTGCGATGTTTCTTCCCGTCCACCGTCTGATACGTTGCTTCAAGGAACTGGGCTTCCCTCCCCCAGATGAGGCAATTACCAGCCATTTCTCGACAGTTGCTTTTCTGACGGTTCGCATCGTGATTCAGGACCCACCCCGCAGCGAAGGCAGTGGTCACGGCTATGGTCATCGCGTTGGACAGGTCTACCGGGTAGCGGGCAAGATACTGAGTTTGGAGTGTCCAAATCTGTGGCATAATGGCAGCAAAGCCATAAATGCTGTAAAAAGAGAAACGCTCATGAGCCCCATCCAGTGTTTCAAAGAACCTAACAGATTGAAAATAGGTTTGACTTAGTGCCTTGATGTCACCAGTTCAACTAGGAGTGCTTACCAGTTTTCGAAATAAAAATACTCTCCTACAATGATCCCCCGGAAAATTGTTGCCATGATCATTGCGTTGGTAACGACGCCGTGCAACTGATATTGAAACGCAACGAAGGAGAGGTCGCTAGCACCGAGGTCAGCACTCATCTCTGGCTCCCCCTGGATTTTACTGCTTGAGGCCGTTTAAAAATGATAGGAGTTGTTTACATCAATGTGGATCACGGATATGTCAGAGGGGATGAGGGACAAACATTAAGGTCCAGAGCAAAAGTCCTCCCGTTCGACTGGCATTGAAGTGCTTCCAATCAAACAAGACCCCCGTTCGGGGATGGAGCTCCCCTCCATTGAACAAGTCATACCAGAAATGACCTAAGGGATGAAAATTAGCGCCAAACATGGGTATGCGAGAGGCCATTGCCGACCTGTGAGTAATGTCTCGCCGGCGTTATCTGGCTTAAGACGAGCCTTGACGTAAAAAATAACAATGAGTGCAGCACAGTACACATTTGCGGTTGCAAGCAGATCACCCCAGTGTCTGGCGATATACGTTGGGTCGATCAACCTGCCAAAGGTCGCCACTGCAGCGAAGCCAATGGTAAGCATCCAGGCATAAAATCCATTTAACCTGTACAACAGTTGTCTTCCCCCAGGAGTTCGTGGTCCCCGATGAAGCGGACCGGGTAGGGCGTGATACAGAGCTGCTTGCGAAAGAACCCAGGCCGCATACGCCGTGGTAGAGGCTACTGTTGGGCGTGGGCAGCGCGCTAGAAAGTTGAGTATTCCGTCAGAGATCAAAGCTTCTGCGCTTGATGAAATCGATACGCCGAAATCTTGGTACGTAATCCAGTAAAAGAGGAGAAACAGGGGGCACGTGGTGATAAGTAGAAGACTAATTGCTTCATTCAGATAGACATCAGTCCACTTTGTTGATGTTGGTTCGTACATTGCGTGGTCGTTTTCTTAACTAGGTACCTAAGTAGGTAGACAGACAATCACCTTCATGGCGTGCGCGGGGGTGGTAGAGCACCTTGTGTCCGCATATATACCTGCCTCTGAATTTATCACGCTCCTTGATTGCAGTTAAGCCATTGGCCTATGATGTCAATCCAAGCATCACGGCGTGGCCTAGACATGGAGAAACTGTCTCGGAGCACCATCGGCTGGCTATTGGAGATGTTTTATATCTTACACCGACATCTCAAGCACCACCTCCCCAGCATTGGGGATACTCAGACAGGCTGTGAGACAGATTATCTCGGAACGCCACCGGCTGACTCTTGACAATGTTTTATATTCTACACCGACATCTCAAGTGCACCTTCTCAGTATTGCGGCTACGTAGATCGGCTATGGCAACTTTTAGAAGAGCGGGGTGCGATTCAGGTTCTTAGCCCAACTTACCAGCTCAAATGTGTACCCGCCAAGCGTAATTATTCTTCGGGAATAGGCAGTCATGATTATATGTTCCTGGTCTAGGTGACGGTCCGGTGCTACCTCTTTAATACTAATCTCCTCCCCGGCTGCCTTCAGACTTTCACTCTCCCCCTAGAGATCAGCATCATGGAGGCTCTAGTTGAGTATTTGGACGTTATTGTCCTCGATGCGATTTATGAGTTGGTACATCAAGCAACGGAAATCTACGCCTGTCCTGTGTTTTCGAATCAACGAAGACTGCCCATGGGCCAAAACATCTGCGAGTTTGCAATGAACCCGCATCTCTGGGGCCGACATAGTTTACCTCGCCAACTCATCACCACTTTTCTTTTGACCTGGCATGTATTTTTTTCTGCGAGAAATATTTACTTTAATCTGACGTTGATTGTTTAGGACCTTGACCACGTCGTTCTATCTTTGCTTCGGCGTGTTTTGTTACTACCGGCACTTTGATCGGGCATCCAAAGACCAAACAAGATTTCGTAGCAGCCAGATTCGAGATGAAATCGCGGACTCGCTATGCACTCTGTTTTGGGGAAGCATGTTAACGGCTCCAGTTTTCACGGCTCAGATCCGAGGCTACTCAAAGATATATCCGCTCGGTTCCGCGAGTTGGTGGTATGAGATGGCTCAGTATCCCCTCTTCTTACTCTTCAGTGATACTTGGATGTACTGGATGCATCGTATATTTCATACCCCTCTGCTGTTTAGGGCACTACACAGCAAGCATCATCGGTGAGGACTTTTTGCCCCCTCAACTGGCGAACTGGCTGACATGAGTGCCATACAGTTATGTGATACCCACGCCGTTCTCAGCATATGCGTTTCATCCTCTGGAAGCGTGGCTCATGAGTTTGGCCACCTATGCCTACAGCTTTATTTGGCCAATGTCGGATGTTGCTCAGGTGATTGTCTTTTGCACAGCCAATGTATGGACGTTCTTACTGCGTATGTTGCTAAATTTCCCTCTACGGCAGTATGTGATCGACAGAGCAGCCATAACCGATGCTAACGTCTCAATATATAGACGATGACCGAGATCATTTCCATACGGTGCATCACAAAAATATCAAGCTGAATTTTGGACAGTACATGTCATTATGGGACAAGGTTGGAGGAACCTATGTGAACCCTAAGACGTTCTTTCAACACAAACCTGGAGCGGACAGGAAATAACGAACTTTCTCAAAATGTCTTTACAGAACTGGATGAGAACAGGCTAAAAGCGGTAAAATGTCATTAATTATGGAGCCTAGATCCTTGAGTGGGTCGTGGTGAGGGCAGAATTCTCAAGTCTGTCGCACACCTTGGATACCTTGTGTCAATTTATTTGTATTTATATTCCATTCGGATTCATCAGATCATGCGAACTTGGCTATCCAGTAGAAATGTGCGTAGTCCTCAGTCTATTGTCGTTGAACAAGTTGGATCCGTGTATGATCCAGAGAAGTCTAGGCAGGAATGCTGTGGCGATGCTGACATGCCTGGTGTTTGCTGTATCGAATTCGAGATTGTATGGATCTAATATTAGTCTTGAAGTTCATGTTAGCATATAAAAGACCGGATATCTCTTAAGGGAACACGAAGGATCTAAAAGTGGATGGACAAGACACAGTATGTGGCTCCTTAGGAACCCACCTCGATATCCACAAGTTCATACACCCAATTTGTTGTGGTATGTGCGGCTCATAATCTTGGAGTTTCTTTTAGTCAATAAGACCACGATCATCTCTCGGTGAAACATACAGAATCAAACTCAGTTGGGCAAGACATAATGTATGACTGTCCTAGAACTACCCTCCTCCACTCGGATGAGAATCATGTATTTGAGTTCATGCGTCCCGTGGGTAGCGGTGAGCATCACTTGATCCCATTCATCGCAAGGCTATCTAGGTTCTTTTCTCCCCTCAGTGTTTTGTGGCTCAAATTGTTCTTATGCGTTGGGCTTTTCAGGTTCCCATGATCATGTCCCCATCTGACATGAAAAATGTCATAGTGGCATGCACATGCCTGGCGGTCGGCTGGATAATACATCGAAGAACTTACAACTCTAAGGTTTGGCTGTTCTTCCACAGGGAGCTGCCTCCGTCGCAAGCACCTTTTTACTAAGGCTTAATCAGGTGTCCAAGCTTCCGCTACCTCCTTTTATTCCGCTGACGGTGGGTCAACCCAGATACAAAGATATTGCACGGATAATTTGCTTACTCTCTGGCAGGATCATGACATCTATCACGCGACCGCAGAGTCGATGACCAGGGCGCTACGAGAACATGGCCCAATCGTTTCCTTCAGGCGGGATGGTAAGGTTGTGGCGGCTGTTCATGAAACAGTCTTTCTCAAAAACTGACTACTCCCGCAGATAGAGTATATCGTTTCTCAAGAGTATGCGCGGAAGGTTCTTACAGAAGAATCGTCGTTTAGTTTTGAGCGTGGGATGGAAGAAGTAAGATGCCCTCATTTTTTTATTTTATTTTTACAAAACGGCGGTTGCTAACGCTTGTAAAGATTCTCGGCATTCATTGGATGCGCTACATCCATGGAGGTACCTTTTTCCGCGACGTTGACAGTGTCGTGAGAGAGCTTTCAACGAAGAAATTGCGTTCAATCGCAAAAGAAAGTATGTTAATCAGGCGGAGCTGAATGGAACGAATCAAACTCATTACAAAACTAGCATGGCCTGTTTTCGAGCTTGGCGTCTCGGAGCTTCTCAATACGGTACAAGATGAAAAGCCCGTTGATATATTGCCGCATGTGAAGAGGATCATGGCGCAAGCGACAATCCGCATCCTTCTCGGACCCGTAAGTCTATACTTTGACAAGCTCAAACCTGGACATCATTAGCAAGCGTTCTCTAAACAAGCCGATCAGACATACCAGAATGAAGAAGACGTGAACCGGATCCTCGATATCAGCGCCGATGTTGCGGAACTTATGGGACTCCGTCGTCATGAGTCACGTATGGCGCACAAATATCCTCGACTATGGCGCACTTTGACTTTGTAGGTACCATAGTAGCCTTGATATTTGGCCATGGTTAACTTTCAAGCAGGACTAAGATTGTACTTATCCTCCTTCCGCTGGATATTGGCCTAGTGTTTGCAAGGAGGCTGTGGGCAGACATTTCGTCGAGAGAAAAGCATCGCGACCCTGAGGTTTGTCACTGATTTCCATTATTTCATGGTTCCCGGATTAACTATTTAAATTAGGACGAAACTATCTTCTCCCATCTTGTTGACCGATATGCGTCTACCAGTGGGAGTGTGTCATTTCTCTCAAAACTATGGATAATGATTTTGATTTTGACCGTTATATTCGGTAGCGTCCATCAGACGTAAGATTCTGCGACGTGTTGAGTTGTTCTTTTCGGCTAACATCTACATGCTTGAAGCGCCGTGATTATCGTCTGGGTCACGTACTTCTTAGCAATACACCCTGACTGTCAGAAGTCGATCCGCGACGAGGCTGAGTCTCTCGTCAGGGGCGAAATGTCCGGCTCCGGGTCCGAATATAAGGCTCTTCAAGATGCAACTCTGGCAGATTCTTTCGTCAGGGAGGTCCTACGAATGAAGGGGGATACTGTCAATGCAGTACGGGTGGCCGTTCGAGATGTCGAACTGGCCGGCCATAGGATCCCGAAAGGTTCCTGTCTATCCTGGCATCCGTGGCCGCAAGTTCCAAGGCAGACTAACGTGAGATAGGTACCCCCGTATTCCCAGTGACATACCTATCCAACCGATCCCCAGCCCTGATAGCGGATCCGGATAAGTTCGACGCAAAACGCTGGATCGGAACTGGAAAGTCAGCCACCACGGCGGGGCAAGATTACTTGGCGTTCGGTCTCGGCCGATGGTCATGTCCTGGACGGTTTTTAGCTGTTATGGGTGAGAAGTTCTATACCGATGCTCCGTCTTGGTCTTGGTTTGACGCCATCCAATGACTCTGAAATTTACTGACTTAATGGTGCGGAAACTTGTGCAGAGATCAAGGCCTGGATTCTTGCCTTGGTGAGACAGGCAGATTTTGAACTACAGGGTGGGCACTACAAGGTGGTGGATGCATATAACATTACCGCCGTTCCACCCCAAGCGTATCTGCTGATGAAAAGGCGTGCTGGATACTGAAGTATAGCAGATCCAACTAGCTTGGACAAAAATCAACGAAGTAGCTCCTAAGCAATCGGGTTCCCTTTTAGGTGGCATGGGAGCTGAGGTTCTACCAGGGTGAAAGATTGACATTCGTATTCTGAGAAAATGATCTGAGAAAATGGCGGTGCTGTGGTCTTCCAAGACGAGACAATTGTGATTGAAGATTGGTGAGAAAGACGACCTGTGCAGGATCTCCGTCTTGATCAAGCCGAGGCTGCTCCGTGCTCCTGTGACTTGAACATGTTCGACCCAGACCACGACCAAGGGTCCGGGTGACCGTCCCTGTTGGGAGATGGCCACTAGTGTACTTCGACAGCTCCAATCCACCGCTCAAAGAGGTGGTGCGTCAAGGATGTGGCCATGAGTGGATGGGTGGGCAGGCATGTTGGAGCATGTGGCCAACCTCCGCTCTCTACATGCAGCATGCACCACCAGCTGCCGACCGCGGGTTGCGACTCTTAAAGCCGCGACTACAAGGACCTGATCGTGGCGAGGAGTCTAGTCCCTTCTTCTTCGTTGTTCTTTGGCGTCATTCCATGTACCTAGCACTCAAGGTATTGCATCGCCATCATCGTCAAAATCGATGAAGTCACCAAGTCGGCCCCACTAGCATTTGGAATACCGCAGGCAGGTTCGGCCCACCCGTGATCCTACCATCCTGGCAACGAGAAGCACCAAATCAAGCCCATAGATGCCAGTCTTCGTGATTGAAGCTTTGCACCCTCCAACACATCTGCCATCACGGAAAACTCTTCCGTGCATAAGGGACACCCCTCTCGAAAGCCATGCCTGACTATGTGCAGGCCGTGCCAAACTGCCTGGCATGGCTCTTCCGCGAGTCCGGCCCCGAGTGGCGAGAGATCTGGGACTATCAGTTCAAGTGGACTGCCGACCACCGCACCGCCGAAGAGATGCGGCCCATGATCTATACCTACGACAAGTTGGGCGAGGCAGCCCTGAACCGGCTCGACGAGATCTCACCGCCCGAGAGGACAGGCGAAAAGGGCGATACGCCACCTCCCGATGCCGAGAAGAAGGCGCCACGCGACCTCTATGCTCTCGTCCGCGACAATGCCGACACAGATGAGGTCCTCGGCCAGCTCTGGAAAGAAGTAACGACAGTTCCCGAATGGGTCGACTGGGCCCAGATTGAACGCGGGCAGCACGTCTTTCTCCGCTACGCCGGGCCCGCCATATTCGCCGTATGCCTCACCCTGAGTGTTAGCCTGCCATCAAAAGCCTCCGCTAATCATCTAGCAGCTCGCCTTTCAATCCCTCGTTGGCGGTATGGGTTCCCGCCGCGTCGTCGAGACACTCGCACGCACAGGCGGCTTCGGCGTCAACGTCACCCGGCGTCGTCTCCTCGAGACATTCCAGCACGTCCTGCAGGTGACTTCCTCGCTGCCAGCCATACAGCCGCACGGCGACGGCTTCGCCTCGACAATCCGCGTACGGCTCCTGCATGCCGCCGTGCGCCGGCGCATCCTGGCGCTCGCGGCTCAGAAGCCCGAGTACTACTCCGTCGAGGCCAACGGGATCCCGATCAACGACCTCGACTCGGCGGCACCATCGCCAC